GCAGAACGTGGAAATGAAAGCAGACGACAGAACATTGCTAGAGAGCAGGAAAGGAGGTGAAAGGAGACAATTTTAGAGAAGAAATTTTTCGGTCGCTACCCGGATTCGAACCCGGGACCTTTGAATGAGAGGCCAACACCTTAACCTCTAGGCCATGAGAGCCCCTTTTGGTAGAAAAGAGAATTCATGAGAATACATAACCGAGAATGCTTTGTTGGAAAGAAGAAATAAGAAGAATACATTACGGACATCGTTTTGCTAGAAAAGAGAACTAGGGAGAAAACATTACAGAAAATGTTTTGCTAGAAAAGAAAATTAGTAAGAAAACATTACCAAAATAAAACTTTCATTAACCCTATCCGTACGTCGTGTTTTACTATCGTGTCCATACGACGTGGGGAACTCTGTGACACCACATTCCAAAGAAGAAATTGACTCGTTAATCCGCTCTGTACGCTTTGCATAGCAGTCTGTCAAAATGATTTTTTGAGAAATACTGAAAGTTTCAAAGAGATCTTCGTACGAAAAGTATTCTCAAATGTGAAGAATACAACCCCGGGGATACAAAATGACCCCAGGGCGTATGGATAGGGTTAAAAACGTGAGAAATAGTGAGAATAGAAGAAGAAAAAAAAGTGAAAGAGTGCGACTCACTACTCGGTGGTGACGTGCTTGATGCGCACTCTGTCGTTCCGGCTCCAGTACTTGGAGCTGCACACGATCACCCAGTTGTCTCCTGGAGATATACACACAGGAAATATTATGTTTTGATCACAGGTTGGGTTGTTGGGTTGGGGGTTTTTTTGGGGGGGGGGGGGTGGTAAGAGCTTTACGGCACTTGCAATACAATAAGGTCATATAAGCGCCGAAGATTAGAGGTGTTACAAGAGAGTAACTAACACAAAATAGAAGGAGGGGAGATAAATGTTTGATAGGAAAAAAGGAGCAGACCACACCAGAGCACCCGCCAACCACCCACAGGTTGGGGTTTTTTTTGTTGTTGTTTTTTTTATAGACATGATAAAAATAAAATCATATTTAATATTATATCAAATATACAAATCTTTTAATTATGAATGCGATTACCTTTCACAACTTAGCAGGCTTATCAGTATATCTCAAGATAATATTTGTTGCTTTATTTTTGATTCAGTAAGCATTTGACAACACTTGCAACAAAATTACGTCGTATAAGTGCCAAATATTAGAGGTGTTACAAGCGATCAAACAAACACAAAAAAGAAGGAGAAATCAGATTGATAGATGTTTGACAGGAAAGAAGGAACAAATCACACCAGAGCACCCGTCAACCACCCACTCATGATAATTAACGATATTCAAAATATTCAGAGGATCTAGCATGTTTATCAATGTATACTGCACAATATTTCCACTATTTGAAGGATTTCCGATGTAACTAGTCTTCTATGTTTATGTACATGAGTCTGTTTGCTGGAGTGAAGAGAAACACAGCAACACAATAACAGTAACTTAGTGCTGGGAAAAAGTACGATAGACAGACAGAAACAGCAGAAGGTACACAAGAAAAGTGGTAAGATCTAACAGTAACAGAGGCACCTTTCATCCACCCGCTTGATCACAGAAGGCCATAAGACTAAAAGGATAAACAAACCATCCAAAGTTTCCAAATTTGCCCTTTTCACCCAGGATAAGGATATAAGCCTCAAACAAACACTTTCCCTTATCCTAGGCGAGTCGCTTGATCTCACCCCATGTCTTCCCACTTTTCTGTACATCCATAATTTCCGTGACTCTTCTCATGGTTAAAAATTACATTGTCTTTTCCTAATTGTTTCTATCAGCGAGCCAGCAGAAGGCCAGAGGGTTTTGGGTTTTTTTAAAGTGTGAGTCCTCACCTTCATCCCCTTCCCCGGCCTCGCCAAAAGCGCTGACCTCCAAGTTGTGAGAGAGCGGGGACTGGAAGTGGTGGCTGTGCAGGTTCCTCTTGGTGGCCACGTGGGTTAGTCGGACCGACTGGCCGCACTTGACCGGCGACCTGCACGAGAGACAACACCAGGTTTTATATTGTATCCATACCTCCGTGCAGAAGGCAAGTCCATTAATTTATTAAATATAATATTTATGTAGTTTTTAGAAAATTGAAATGCGCAGCATAAATGCCATTTATTAATTATTATTATCATTATTAATCAAAGAACAAATTCAGTTACCGTACAGGAAACTGAAAATATAAAATGCGACAACGGTCTACGTCTTTGTGAAACAGTACAGCCAAGCAGAGACTGTAAAAGATGGTGGCCTGTTGAGGAAAGGAGCGGGGCACCAATGGACATAGACGGTCGCGGTGACAGGTGACACAGGGAGAGTGACATCATCATTTCCCTCTTACAGGCCTGATCTTTGTACCTCTCTTAACCCTATCTGTATGTCGTGTTTTACTATCATATCCATACGACGTGGGGAACTCTGTGCCATCACTTTCCAAACAGGAAATTTACTCGTTAACCCGATCCATACACTTTACATAGAAGTCTGTCAAAATGATTTTTTGAGAAATACTGAAAGTTTCAAAAAGATCTTTGTACTAGAAGTATTCTAAAATGTGAAGAATACAACCCTGGGGGCACAAAATGACCCCAGGGCGTACGGAAAGGGTTAAAATTGAAGTCAACCATTTGTCCCATTACTATTACTATAACAACAATAACATAAATATTAATAAATATAGACTATCTTTGTTTCTTAGGAGAAGTCAAGCATTTTGTTCCCTGCTTCCCTAGCCCTAACAACAATGACAATATATAGACAAATGTATCTTTATTTCTTACCAAAAGTCAACCATTTTCTCCTATTTCTCTGTAAAAACAATGACACTTACAAAACAGTAAAACTTACCCCCGGGAACAAGTAGCACCAGTCTTGGCCCGCACCTGCCAGTAACTGTTGTGGTCATCAGACGAGTCCACACCCGTGACAGACTGAAAACAAAAATAGATTAATAGATAGCATTTGTATAGTGCAAATCCCCGCTCAACAGCAAGCTTTATGCGCTTCACAATAGATATACTATTACCCCAGCAGACCTGAGAGCATTCTGAAACAACCTCAACTTCCTGAGAAGCATACAGTGCAAACGGCCATTTATAGGCGCTAAAACACTAACATACGGACAAGATCTTTCACTGTCTATGGCCGGGTACCCATTCCCACCTGGGTGAAGTGAGGAAAATTTGTGTAAAGTGTCTTTCCCAAGGACACAATGTTGGGCCCACGGCTCGATCCCCCGAACCAGCAACCTCAGGATTACGAGTCCAGTAGTCTAACCACTAGGCCACCGACAACCTCACGATTACAAGTCTGGTAGTCTAACTGGTCACACTAAGCCACCGACGCCACAAGGGAAAACATTTTATTTGCATAGAAAATAAATTACGGAAGAAAACAGGACTGCCCAGTGTATGATACAAAAGTCTTAGACTTCAAGTGTGCTGTGATTGAGGAGGAGGAGGAGGAGGACGACGACGACGAAGAGGAGGAGGAGGAGGAAGAGGAGGAGGAGGAGGAGGACGACGACGACGAAGAGGAGGAGGAGGAGACATTATATTAGATAATATATTAATAGCCAGTTTCACTCGACTACTAAAACAGTATTCCCTCGCCATCAAGTGGTTCAAATCCATAAACTCAGTACAACAAAGATTTTTCTGGCTGAAAATAAGAAAACCATGGAAGTGCTATTGGAGCATATGACGTGATCAATCAGAGAACTTATATAAACAACTGTTTATCTATTTCAAATGTTTGATTTTTTCAAATATACCATAATATAATGTCTCTCATACAGAAAGCGTAGAAAGTGTTTTTTTTAAGAACATGGGAGAGGTTTTCAAGAGTGCGTGGACGGTTACAAAATATGTAATATATAAAATATACAATACATCCTTTCTACTTCCTGGATTTTTAACCTATCGTGGGAAGTTCTGGAACTGGATCGTGATCCGATATTCGAGGGAATTCTGTACTCACCTGTTGTCCACTGCCAGAGCCATATTTGACATCATGCGAGTGTAGCCGCACATTGTGAGCAGAGTTCTTTATTTTTAGAGCTGATCCACATGTCACAAAGTCATAGTCAAAATCTGGTGGAGACATCAGGCAAAGAAATCAAAGTCACGTGAACATATATATATATATGTCTGACATTGTAGTGGAATCAGGCTTTCGTCAAAATAATGAAATTGAAGAAACCAACTTCTTTCTGTACAATCTGAAAATTTTTAATAATTTTTTTTTAGCTCAAACATCTTTTATCATTTCAAAACAGATGCCATGTATGTCTGTGTAGATTTTACTGAAAAATGTTGACCAAACGCACACACAAAAAAAAACAAATTTGCATTTTCCAAGAAATCAAGCTTTGGAACTCACCAGCTCAAAAAGTTTGATGGACATTTTCTCAATGAGAGTGTATACAGACCTGGTAACAGGGAACAAAGTCACGAAGTAGAAGTATACAGACCCGGTAGGGAAAATCTTTTGTGATTTCAGAAACTTTCAACGCCTTCTTGGCTCAGGGTAGACTAAGGTTATTCGAGATCTATATATATAATATGGCCTAGGTCGTGATCTTGACGGACAATCATAGGACAATCATAGATCTAGATTCGAGGCCTAGCCTAGATCTAAATGAAGATTGTGGATGTCTTTCGATAAACAATAGTTTTTCCTCCATCTTGGAGTTGGAGGAATCAATATTTAAAGACAATTTGAAGAAAAGAACAATGTCATAATTTCAATCGAGCAGTCACCCTTTCTATTTCTGTCTCTTTCCCCTCTTTTTATGCCTGCCCCCCCCCTCTCTCTCTCTCTCTCTCTCTCTCCTCTCTCTCTCTCACACACACTCTACCGGGTCTGTATACTTCGTGACTTTGTTCATACCTTACCGGGTCTCTGTATACACTTCGTTTCTCAATTACCTCTACTCTGAACAGACACACATGATCTATAACCTCCCGTTCTATAACTAGATCTAAATATCTAATTCTAATAACTGTCTCTCGACGGTAAGTGTAGGCTATAGAGGCTATATTCAGCTTTTTGTAGCCTTAGCCTTATTGTTTACTTTCTCGCGTTTAATTGCAGGGGAGGTCTTCTGTAACGAGCCACCACTCTGAACTCTATTATAATCATGAGAATATTATTAAATAATATACTAAATCCATCAAAATCAGTACAAAAGGCCTAAAGCCAGTATATTACTACCTATAAATGATGAAATTGTCGAGGCTTACGTTTCTAAACTCCAGCGCAAAGTTTTGAATATCCAGTCGGGGATGCATAGAGTTTCAGTGTTTCGTCTAGATTCTAGATTAGTTCTAATCTAGATTCTTCTAGATCTTAGATCTAGATGCAGCCAGTGGCGGAGGGTAGTGAAGGGCTCACGGGCTTGAGCCCCTACCCCCTCCCCACCCACCACCCCCAACTCTATCCCAAAGTAAATGAAAGTTCCTCCATATAATGAAATCAGTTGAAACCGTATGCAAAACAGCACGCAATGAACACAGAGTGATTAACTTGGCGGCTTGCTCGCTTATATCTAATCACTGTTGTCATCCCTTACAACTATACTATACTATACTACTATAGTAACCCAGCAGCCAATCAAATGTCTTTAGGGCTCAGCAAAGATGAGCCCTTTTCCCACAGCCCGTCTTTAATGAAACTCTTGTTCTTGTAAAAAGGTAGAAGACTGGGAATAAATAACACTGTACCGAGGACTCACGCTCTCCTAACCCTGACAATGGGGTGACAGTTTACGACATGGTTCTTTTTTGTTGGGTGCGTTCAACTTTCTCGACTAACATGGCCTAATCCAGCTCATAGAAGTATTATCATTGAAGTAAGTGCTGTGTGTACATGTTTGTGTTTGTGCTGCTGAGATTTAACAGTTATAAATCAGGTCGCACGTTACTTAGTAAGGATACTTTTTCATCACATGAAAACTAATCTAATTAGAGGAAATTTGGAGGTGAATCGGCTTCATTCCCACCATCAACAAGAATTTAACTAAGAAAAAAGAGATGGAAAACAAAGGCAACTCTTCTCGTTTGAGTGGTTCTCAAACTGCCGTGGCTCACCGTGAGTATAGAAAAATCATCACTGTTTAATTCTTATTGCTTGCTATTTGGTGGTAAAGAACTGGAAGCAACCTAAGAAGGCAAGCCCCACCAAATGTTGGTCCACCCACCCCACCACCACTGGGCGCAGCCTGAATTAAAAGCGAGAAAGTAAATAATTGCTCAGGTTTTCTATCAAGCTAAAAGTCTAAATTGTAACATTCATTTTACACTGTTTATCTATGAATCACAAAGTTGTTTTTAGTAGTAGGCGTGACTGTGATTCAAACGAACCGAAGGCTTTCTTCAAATTCAAGTTTTTACTTTCTCGTACCGGTAGCCTACCTAAACAAGGAGCTTTTTATGATTACACAGGGGCAGCGAAAAACACACGAATCTTAAGTCAACTATTAATCTAAACAGTGTGTAGTCTTACTTGCAGGCGTAGCTGAGTCGATAAAAGAATATATCAAAAACAATAGAAAAGAATGCGTCAAAACGTCTTGACCGGCGATCGCCATCCTTGCTGGTTACTGGTTGAGGGACTGTCTGTACTGTCTCCACGTAAGGTTTGTAGGATGTACTACTCGTAAACTTACACTAAAGAAGAGCCGCTTCTTCGACTATCTTCGTTATCTTCGTACTTCGTAATATGCCTCTTTTGCTGAAAAGTGCTTTTTTCTGTAGTAATGATTAAATACTGAGTGGTAATTATAGGTGTACTGGGATCGAGATAAGAAGCCTTGTTTCACAAACAGAACTATATAACAACTCGCCATCATTGTAAATATTTGAAATAAGAAAGTAAACAGGAATGTCACTGAAGGAAAAACAATGTATGGAAAAGTCATTAAAATTACAGTAGATTCTTCCCAGGTGATTTGTTTTTGTATCGTTCTCAATCTTATGTAACAATCCATTACTTTCGTTTCACTTTTCTGTAGTACAGACCTTAAAATCCTTGGATATTATGAAAAGGTCACAGAAAGGCGATTATTCATTCATTCATTCATTCATTCATTCATTCATTCATTCATTCATTCATTCATTCGTTCGTTCATTCATTCACCCATTCATTCTTTCGTTCTTTCATTCATTCATTTATACGTTCTTTCATTCATTCATTCATTCATTCTTTCATTCATTCATTCATTTATTTATTTATTCATTTATTTATTTATTTATTTATTTTATATTTTTATCCATTCATTCAGTCATTTCATTCATTCATTCATTCGTTCATTCATTAATTCATTTATTCATTTATTCATTTATTTATTTACTTAATGCATATTATGTCATGACGGGTGCCACAAGCGCGGCAAAGAGATACGGTACATGTATCCCCATTTAAAGACAGGTCTCAGCTGTTGTAATGCATTCATTGGCTAGCTTTTGTTTTCTCTCTCTCTCTCTCTCTCTCTCTCTCTCTCTCTCTCTCTCTCTCTCTCTCTCTCTCTCTGTGTCTCTCTCTATCTATCTATCTATCTATCTATCTATCTATCTATCTATCTATCTATCTATCTATCTATCTATCTATCTATCTATCTATCTATCTATCTATCTATCTCATTTGCATATTTCGTAGCACGCAGGTCGCTGTCTGCCTTTCGAATATTTTAGACAACGAAAATACAAAAAACAAATCTGAAGGAAAAATGTGCCACAATACAGAGAAATAAGACGCTCGTCAGTTTTAGGGCTTGTGGGGTTATTGGTGTCATGTGAAAACTTGCCCGTTCGTCAACTTGCTTCTGGCGAGAAAAAAAAAGGACCCATATCTTGAATATAAGGCGAGATACACGTATTTGCGAGTGAAAAAGGCGGGGGTCGCCAGGTGTCAAAGGTAAAATTGGCGAGAGAATATTATTTATTATTATTATAGTAGAGGGTTTTACGGCACTCGCAACTGCATAAGGTCAAATGAGCGCCAAGGGATGGGTGTCAACCAAGGAGTTTAGAACTAATGGAGCCTCCTCTCTCTCTTCCCGGCGCCACGAGCAGTACGCCGCGGTGGGGATCAAATATGGCCGCCGAGTGTGGGCTAAATCTCGAACTGTGGCGTTTCTTTTTATAGAATCTTATCGGGCTGGGCCACGTTGTGGGGGTGGGCGGGGTCGGAGAATGCACGCAAGGAAGAGGGGATGGAGCAGGGATGAAAGAGGAGGGGCGGGCCTTGGGAAGAGACGAAGGAGAATGGGGAAAATTAAATAAAAGAGAGAGAGAGAGAGAGAGAGAGAGAGAGAGAGAGAGAGAGAAAGAGAGAGTGAGACAGACAGACAGACAGACAGACAGAGAGAGAGAGAGAGAGAGAGAGAGAGAGAGAGAGAGAGAGAGAGAGAGAGAGAGAGAGAGAGAGAGAGAGAGAGAGAGATTGTGATCAACTGGCGAGCTGACGGATAATGACAGGGAGAACCAAAAAAAAAGATTCTGTGTGTGATACGGACTATTCAATTCTTAAAGAGTTTTATGTTATAATCTAGTTTAAAAATCAGAAAGATGTGTAAAATAAGAAGAAAACTTGTCCAAGTAACATAAAATTATCAAACATACCAAATTATAAAGATAATCTTTCAAGATGCCAAAATATTTAAATATTAGAAATGGACAAAAATATACTTTAAAACTGAATTTAAGATATTATGATTGCATGATTCTAGGCGTGTGCCATAACTAACTTTATGTGTAAGGAATAGCGAACACAACAGAGGGTCGATGCCAGCTTTATTTGATTGCTAACAGTGTGTCTTGGTCTATAAATAATAATATTATTGATTACAATAATTTTGTTTCCTGGTTTTCACAAAGTAAAGCGCACAATGATTTCAAATGTTTAAAAAAAAGAGATAACAGCATCTTTGGAGGTGTGATCGCATGCATGAGCGTGGATGACCTTTGAAGGTTTTCTTTTCTGTTGTTTTTTTGTTGTTCAGTAAAGTATGATATGGAGAGCAGCGTTTTTAGTCCCTTATTACACGCCGGGGGGGGGGGGGGGATAATTTATCTCAGTGATGACTCTTGTGTAGTAAAATTTGTTGTTGCTTTGTTTGGTTTAGTTTTTAACAGCAGAATCTTAAGTGAACCGGAATTATTGATTGTGGGATCTTAGGTGAAGACTACAACAATAGAATTAAACCGAGTATAGTTCTATCTAACAAGACTCAAACTCTTATCCACCCCACCCTACCCTCTCCCCTCATCTGATATGGTTTGGTGTTTCTTTAACATAGAAAATATTCATCATTATTGTTGTTGAGTATTGATTTCATATTCTAATGGAGCCTCCAGATATCTACATTTAGACAACAGTAGCATCTAATTTGCACACACAACGGAAAACAATATAAATGTATAATATGTATATACATACACACACATAAAAACTATATATATACACATAATAATTATATATATATATATATATATATATATATATATATATATATATATATATATATATATATATATATATATATATATATATATATATAAAAGAATAAGAATACTTTTAAAAAATTGAGTATCTCGGTCTTTCTGCTGGGGTGTTGTATCCCTTTCAGCCTGGGTTGGCCTTGGCAGATCTAAATTGTGTTGCTGGGGCCATAAAAAACCCACTTTCATTCAAATTTGTATTAAGGAAAACAACTTAACTGTGAAAACTTCGGTCCACTGCAGCATCATATCGGTTCTTACACTTAAATACAACACATATGCAAGGCATTTTAACTAATTGACTTGCCTAATCTCAAGGACCTTGGAATAAATTAAAACCTTCTTTCTTATCTAGATTTCAGTGCGTGAGTCGGGGATTCGCGCAGCGCAGGTAGACCACAGTTCCGTCGCGAGAGAGGGCTCCTATCAGGCGTGCGGTGCCGCCCACAGAGCATCCTCCATTACTTTTAATCTCCTTGGTGTCAACAGAGAAGTCTTTACAGGGAATCAGACTTAGACTGCTCCCCTCTCTAGCTTCAACAACACAAGGTCTGCTTCAACTATCAAAGCACTAAGCACCCCGGAAATAGCAGGTTACAAGAGAGTGACAAACATACAAAAGAAGTAGAGGAAAATGACAATAGTAAGGATAAGAAAAGAAAAAGCAGCAGTTCCCTGTTGTAAACCAGGCACAGTTATGAGCGTGACATGAATCAGCCCGTTTACAATTCTACTGTGCTTAAACGAGAAATGTCCCCCTTTGGGAATGGCCTAAAGACACAACAGTCAGTGGCACCGCCCTCGGGGGTGGCGAGAGAATGGTAGTCGAAGTCTGAAGATTTCCAAAACGTATATGTCCTTGAAAACTGCAAATTCAAGTGGGATTTTTTTTTTTTTTTTTTGGGGGGGGGGTGCCTTTCATCAACATTTTTCTGTAAAATCCACCCAAAAATGCGTTTTTAAATAGACACAAAAGGCGTTGAGCAAAGAAGAATATTGGGAAAAAATTGCCCAACGTGCAGAAAAATGTCGACTTCTTTGACCTCATCATTTCTTTGACAAGCCCCTGATTTCACCACGACATTTCACAAACCTTGTTTAAAGGGGCCAGAAACATGGCGTCTTTCAGTTTTGATGAAGGAACAAAACGTGAGGTAAGAGATTGGGTGGTTTGCGGGTGCTCTGGGTGTTTGTTTTGTTGTTTTTTTCCCCCTTTCTTTCCCATCAAAAGGGTATAAGCGACGGATCAAAGACATAAAGGAAGTTACATCAAATAAATGTTTCGCCTAGATCTAGCATTTTGGATTTTAAAATTAAGTAACAGTTAATATTAATGGCGTAAACACACAGGGGCCTTAAGAATTCTCCAACACCTAAAGATTGAAGATGTTGTAGTTGTTTTATTACTCACTGTCTGTCTCTCTCGTGTGTATTATGATACTGCCTTTGAAAGATGAAGCCCCTGACAATTTTCAGTGGGTGGTTGGCGGGTGCTCTTGTGTAGTTTGCTCCTTCTTTCCTATAACCTATTTTTAAAAAAGCTATCGTCCCTCTCTCTCCTCCTCCTTTTTTGTGTTTGTTACTCTCTTGTAACACCTCTTATCTTCAGCACTTATATGACCTTATTGTGTTGCAAGTGCCGTAAAACTCGTACTAAACTAACTGACAATTTTCAGTAGAGGAGCACGAGTAGAGACATTGGAATAGTGCGTTACCACCAAAGATGAGAATCTTTTCTACAACCAAGGAGATTATAAATAGATTCAGAAGGTCATTGGCTACTGCGTAAACAATACTATTGTTGCTCTTTGTCTGATCTGTCAATTCTCTTCACTTTAAATAACCTACAATCTCTTTTTTCCCCCAAATGCATTATTATCCTGTTTCTGATATCATAGTATGGTATGTATCAAATTCTATTTGATGATAATAGGAGATCTGATTCAATTTACTAACAATATAGAATAATGCGAATTAGGCTGGAAATAAGATACAATTGTGTTGACAGTTCATCTTCTCTTCTCTGTTTACTGCTGTACGCCAACATTATTATTAGTTTCGGTTAATCGTCTCCGCTTTGTTCCCGTAAAGCTTGATCAACAAAGTGCATTTTCTGTGTGACCTAAAAGAAAAAAAGAAAAGAAAAACAACACAAC